AACCGATTTTATCAAAAATCAGTTTCTTGTAAAAATTCCAGTATTTCCTTGATGGGGTTTCACTCGTTATTTAAAAAGTACTGGACATTTTCAATTTTGACCTCCCAAAACCAAAAGTACCAACTAAATTCACTTTTCTACCAAAAAAAATACTGAAGTTGGAAAATCACAGTATTTTTCCCACTATATAATCTTGTAAATATACAAAAAAAATTACACATATTTTCAAAATCAAAACATTCATTGCTCCGAGTCTAAAATTAAATTAAAATTATATAGTAGTATAAGATGGAGACTGCAGCAGTCTAATTTGATTTTCAACCCAACAATTATAAGCTATATTAAGTTTCTATATTACCATGGCAACCATATCTGTATATAAAAAACAGTAAGCTGATTGACTGCTATCAACGCACAGCTCAAACCATTGGACGGATCTGGCTGAAATTTGGCATACGGATAGCTATTATAATATAGACGTGCGCTAAGAAAGGATTTGCCAAAATTCGCATTTTAAATAGGTGCTGAAACAGGGACATTGAGATTCACGATAGAAATTGGAAATTTTATTTTTATTTATTTATAGTTGCCATTGGTTACAGTCTACATTAGAAATTAGCATTTATTTATTGGTTGCCATTGGTTATTCGGGCAGATCAGGTACAAGCTTGCATCAAATCGAATTATTGAACAATGCTTACCAGGGTGGCAGAGTTGCACTTACCGCAGAAAATTACACCCAAAAGGAGTTCAACAATCATAATTTTTTAAGAGTTGCGATTTTTTACGAGCAAGCAAATTTATTATATTAATCCACAGTATTACATCAAAATAAACTTGGATATTTGAACTTAGAGTTAAAAACTGTACAAACAGCACGGGGTCGCGATCACCGCAGAGATTGCTAATGATAATACTGCTGCGATTAGAATTTTTATCAAGGAAAATAGATAATTGAACCCATACAGGAATTGCAAAGTTTGAGTAGGTAGATGAGTTGCATTTATGGATATAAAAAAAATTAATAGTACATAGTATACTATATGAACAAAAAAATATTGAAACAAGGGCTCCCGCAGGTAATGCATTTTAAGATGTAACAATGAAAACTTGAATAAAATTAATAATACAGTATAAGTTTAAGCATGGTATTCCTAATTATTTTTAATTGTCTATGATATAGTATACTTTAATACTTACATAATATTATAGGATTTAAAAAAAAAGAAAAATGTAAATATTGTAATTTCTTTAATTATATAATATTATAAAGAAAATAATAATGCACATTAAAACAACCTTATAAATATTTAACGATAAACATAATAATATAGATATAAGTACCTAGATAAAATATTATGATAGCAAATATAATTCGTTCGTTATCTAAATCAAAGGCCAGATTCTGAGACTGCCTGTTTACAGTATTTAGGTATAGTACAAAATATTGACTATAGTGACACCTGTATGACATATTAGTATTAATACTAATTATTATCAATATTGTAAACCTTTTTTTTAAATAAACCTATTTGAAGTCTATATATCCGAGGAGTATTATTGAAAAATACCCCTATGTGGGAAATAATTCCAGGAGCGTCATATCATATTAACTGGATCTGAGGATGTATATATTAAGAAGCTCTTTATATTTTACAGATTTGTTTTTGAGGGCGCGGCCCGTTTCGCCCAGATACCCGTTTCGACCAAAGTCATTTTAGTCGTTTTCAAATTAAGTTGGCAATGATTTTTAAATAATATAGTATTTTAGTATACCATATAATATTATGTATTATAATTAACTATTAAAAAAAAAAAATTACATTATATTATAACATATTACTATTTTCAATAAAAACTTTTATTCTAACTCTCCATCAATCATAAGTTGGTTAAATATTATACGCAATGAGATCCAGACAGAAACGTATATCAAAATGAATAGTGTTGAAATCCCCAAAAAAACAAAAGACAGAAAGACGAAGGAAAGACAAGAATACAACGAAAAACGTATACTTTTATATAGATCGGGCGAAATTACTAGGTACGAATTTGTAAAAAGCATGTGTAGAAATTTTAAAAAATAATAGTGTTCGTAAATAGATTTTAATAACTTAACTTAATTTTTATAAAAAAATAATAATATAATATATTGTGTAATGCTTTTTTTTAAAATAGTTTTTAGTAGACAATAATATTTGTATAAATGTATAATATTGAGTATGTATTTTTTAAAAACTTTGGCAATGACTACAAAAATAAAAACTGGTAATTTGTATTATAATTTTTAACTGTAAAAATGTATTTTTAAATAATTATACAAAATATTTAAATTGGGAAAATGCCTGTATTGTATGTAAAAAAAATTAATAACTGATTATTGAATATAACTTAATTTTAGTAGAAAATAGTAATATGTTATAATATAATGTATTTTTTTTTTTAATAGTTAATTATAATAAATAATATTATATGGTATACTAAAATACTATATTATTTAAAAATCATTGCCAACTTAATTTTAAAATGACTAAAATGACTTTGGTCGAAACGGGTATCTGGGCAAAACGGGAAAGGTTGATTTTGGGCGAAACGGGTGCCGCCCGTTTTTGAGACTAATTTATTATATGCCTTTGCTAATAGAAATAATAAAATTTTTCAAATGTTTTAGATATTTTTAATACGAAAATGGATCAATTTATCAAATTAAATTCTTCTTATCTACCTACATAATATATATATAATATGTATTGAACATTATAAATACTTTTATATAACTATAGAGTATATTATTATACTCCCCTCCACGAGAGAAGGAACTCATGTCCCGACCGAAACACGTTCGATTCTGCGCATCTCCACAAATTTGACATGCATTAAATGGCACAAAGTAGGGGATTACGTACAGTCCGCATGCGCGAAACGGATAAATTCTCTAGTGGCGCTAAGTATACCAAGGTATCTTAAATTACCTTATTTTTTTTTGCTCGAAAAATTTTAATTGAAAAAAATACAAATAGTATTTACGTACTATTCATTTGTAAAAAAAAAAGAACGATCAATTATGAAGCTTATTGCTTAGCTATTGGTAAATTCTATTGCATTTCACGAACATTTCTAAACATATATGCCCCCGATTAAGTTATATTATTTATATTATTATATGAATTACCTACCGACTAATGATTAATTATTAACAGTAGTATTTAGCAGAAACGATTAACACGATTTCAATAACAAGTAACAACTATAATAAATTAAATTAAAATAATAACAATAGAACTGTAATAAAATAATATAATTGATAACTTTAGGTGTGAACCTACTTATAACGCATAATCGATTCACATTTATCGTCGAACAATAATTATTTATTTGTTTCTTAAGGCTTGGCGCACATACCAAAAAATTATGTAAGATGTGTCGTAAGAATAATAAAAATAACAATAGTCATATTATTATAGTAACATGCAATACGTTTGTACGTGTTAATGCGCAAGTACCTACCTACCGATTGAATTTCGATTGAACTACCTATATTATTATTGGAATACGATATCGGGAAAATAATTTTAAAAAAAATGTCGTCGGCCATCACAATAATATAGTAGGCTATATTAAAAGTAGGTATATTGTGTAGGGTTAGAATAGCTTGTTCCACGAGAGGTTTGTGCCAATATCCGCCATATTTAGGACATAGGTCGAGTGTGCAACATAAATTATGTAAACGACTGGCGGATTGAGGTACCGACCTATTCATTTTTAACAGTATCTTTTTTCTGGGTCAGTTATTTAAAACTATTTAAAATTCCCGAAATTCATAGTATAAATAAATGTATTATTAGGGGTGAGAAATCAGCATGGTTGGCGAATCACCTTGCGTTTAAACTATCAATTTCCTGACACTCAAATCGCCATACGTCCTGCAATATGATATAATTCTAAAATTATTTTCCGATACAACAATAATTATATTAGGTATACAGTTTACCAGGAACATAATCAATCAAAGCGAAAATACGGTGTTATACGTATATGAATGTTTACACAGATACAGTGAGAGAGGCATCGGATAAATGCCTCCAGATTTCCCTACCAAAAAATGATTTATGTACCTGTGTAGGTTCGTATTATCATATTATTATAATAATTATTATTTGATGTAAATACAGTAAAAAGCACTCAGTTCCTCACAAAGTCACAACTTACTGTACAACACAAAATAATTATATTATAATTATTACTACGTCAATGTCAAACAACAACCAATGATAAAAACGATTTTGTTGTATACCTTGTTTTTGTGAATCTTTCTATTCGGTAAATTTCTTGTCACGGCACTTGACGATATAGAATTAGTTATAAACACGACAATTTAACACGGAAATAAGGGTATTCTTTATGGTTATTTTTTAATATTTTTATTACAAATATAAAATAACAATTGGCATAATAAACCTGGTTTGCAATTTAATTTTAATTTTTATAATAATAATTATCAAATAAGTAAGTGGTACAAAAAGCTCGTATTTTTTGAATTCCGATTTAAAATGTATTACTCTCTTCTTTATGTTATTAAACAATGTACTTCTATTAGTTTTGATAAAACAATGAACCTTTCAATGTCCCGACTTCTTAAATGCCCATAGAATATTTTCACATAGTATGTTCTTAGTTATATATTTTATCAAACATCTCCTCGCCCCTGACCCCCCTATGATAAAGACCTGGATCTGAGATTGTATTTTGAATACAACAATGTATACCTATCAGGATAAATATTATTATAAGGGTTCAGGAATCAGCTAAGGGTCATGACTCATGATTATCTATAACCAACGCAAGACATAACATGATGGTTTAAATAAAATATTTATTGACGGTCATAATATTATAAACATGTACAAGATTATTTGGTATAAAATTAATTAGTATTATAGTAGTTAATAGTTATAGGCGTACAGCGTTTAAAATATGATCGTAGGAACGACGTGAACCGTTTACATGGCGTCGCGTCTGAATTTCGGTGAGACGGTTCGTCTGGAGCGGCTGCCAGGTCCACCGGATAAGCCAGCCTGTAACAAAACGTGAAAACATTAATCATAATATCAAAGGACGATATAATGTCATTAATTACATAATGCGCGTTTTCGTCGTCGAAAAACCGTTTTTATCTGTCGTTTTATTGATTTACAGGGTAATCGCACACACATTCGCAACCGTTCGACCCTCAAATTTGTTTATCCTACCGATTCAGAATTAAGGAGATGGTCAAAAGGGCTCAGGACCCACAGATCCAAGCGTCCCATTCTTTCGACTAAAACTAATTTTTATTGTAAATATTTCCCATACAATAGGTAATGAAAAACAATTAATGAAAATATGAGATAACACGTTGAACTTGGATAATTATTGGAAATAACCACATGGCCTAATGTGATAATAATAGAGGTTAGTCTTTTGTCTTTACCGTAATATAATGTATTTAATTATTTCTAATGTAACGACTATATGTTTATGGAAAAACAGTTTTGCCTACGTATTTCCATTGAAATAATGGCACTTATATTTCATGATTATAATATATAGAAAGGTTGGCAGATGGTCCACCCTAGATCCAAAAAATCCTTAATCCAGCCTTATTTACAACGCCACGTAACACAACGAAGGAGGGCAGGAGAGTTTGAGCATTTGAAAATGTTACTGCTGTTGGTGATGCTTAAATCACAAAACGTAAGGAGTGTATAAGGACTTACTTTTTGAGCTTCCTCCACGATACAAGTTGTCACAATTCCGGCCAACGCACACTCTTCAGTCGTCGATTGAGCTGAAATCGTAGTAACACAAAACAAATATAGGTACGTATTAAAACCACTGTCGGAAAATAAAAACAATACCTACCATTTATAGTGGTCAAGGTTAAGATGTGTATTACTTTTATACACATTAATATTGTTCTTTGCCCATTGCAGACCAAATTATAATAATAAATCCAATCGGTAAGATGTAGAAACAATTGTTTTAAATTGTATTTTGAATACTATATTTCATTTTTATCTTTAAAATACATTTGTTTATGTGTTTAAGAATATTTTTGTGTGTCGATTTTCGTAAATTGTGTACATATGAGTCATATTTCTTAATTTTTAGATTTCAAAAACGTTTTTGAAAAAATATGTTAATTGTTCATATTAACGTGCTTTTTAAAGCAATACAAACGTGTTAAACCTTTATAACTGTTGGTGTCAAACTGTCAAAGATCACACGAATATTAAACCTGTAGTTTTTATTAATAGTCTATAAAAATGAATGATGATATTTGATTATTTTAAGGTTATATTTGATATTTTTATGCACATAATATGAATGCATTTTCTAGAGATTTTAAGGTCATAATCATTCAAATTCTAAAGGGAATATATGTATTTAATTTACATAGTTTGATACCATCGCAGTTTATAAATGGTATTCCAAAAATAAAATAAATTTTCCCAAGTTTCGTAAAAAAAATACTGCCTCAAGCAAAATTATAATCAATTACATTTTTCGTAGAAAAACAAATTGTTTTCCATAATTTAACGATTATGGTATTATGATGGTAACTTTTTTTGATAAAGTGTGTGATTTCAGAGCTGTAGCCAAACGTATTAATTTTTCAACCAGCTTCGAATTCCGAAACATCTTACATCACCTATAGGTACTTAAACCTGTTTCAAATTTAAACGTTAAATATTTTATAATATGTTTTAAATTTTAGAATTTATTACTCTTATAATAATTATTATTAATTTAACCGTAGAACGTGTCGAATTCATAATGACGTTCTGTTATGCAAAATGTTTAATTTATGATTTACCCGTGGTTATTGGTATAATACGCATATTTCTGTCGTTAACTAATATTATTCAACAGAAAAATGTCCAGTCTGATTACATTATGGTATGCCATACCTTTCTTTGCGCAAACGTCGATGAGGTCTTTTGCCTTTTTCATCATCACTTCGTTGGTCCCGTAGTATTTCTGTGCAACCTTGGTCGCCTCTTCGACCGAAAACTTGCCCTTGTTAATCTTAACACAAATTAATTGTACGTTACCTACTTTGTGTTGTTATGAAGGCCTCACGTTTATTCGTAGGTATGCGCATTATATTTTTATTTAACAAAATGTCACTTATAGGTATACTTACCACGTTAACTTTTCTCATCAGACAACCCATCATACACTGTAACGGACAAAATTAATAATAATTAAAACTAACTTTATTAAATTATTATTCATTATTAATAATAATTCTATACGTCCAAACTACGTACTTTTTCGGCTTGTGTTTTTGGTATACTCATCGACCGGAATCCTTTGAGTGCGTCTGAAAGTTGATATTACCAAAACATGTTGGGTAAGTATATTATTTTTATAATTATATCATGCTTCTTACTGCCTATTATTGTTAGCAAACCGTGGAAATTATTAAAACGTATCGATGTTATAGTTAATATATTGACATCAGTAACAAAAATACAAGATAGAATGTAACAAAGATACAATGTTATTGATGCCCAAATTATAAATCTAAAATTCAAAGGAAATTGGTTATTTATTTCTCACTTGGATATAACATCAGGGGACAGTATCTTAAATTCACATTTAAAAGAAGGAAATTCCCTATAGGAATATAGTGTTCTATGACGATTGAGAGACCACAAGAGGTTAGTTACTTTAGATAAACTTGGTATATATTTACAGATTTACAGAACCCCGATCTTGGTGTTTACGCTCGTGTGGTCTTCTCGAGCCACTGGTAGAAAAAAATTATAAATTATAAATAAAATGAAATCGCTTCATGAATATAAATAAAATTTAAAAACCCAGGTAAATAGCAGCATTATATGCGGCAAAATAATACTCAACAGTTGGTTCTGCAACTTATATACAGTATAATACACTAAATCAGCAGTTCAAAAAATTAAGAACATTTCTTTAATAGTTTCGTGTGTTATAATCAATGACACCCACAAAAATATAAACTGTGGGGGGGGGGGTAAATTTAAAAGTCTCTGCTAATGCAACACAATAATATACTATACGACTGTAGCTTTTCATTGCATAATATTTATTTCTATGATTTATCGGTATGGATAATATTACAAACATAAAATACAATATGTATTATACGCATTGCACGGTATCAATTATTGCTTATTAATTTACAAAATACTATACGAATGTTATACCTATTAATCAATTATTTTACATTTGCAAAATAAACATAGGTGGTAAGGCGTGCACATTAAATGTAAATTGTGATAAATTTCTTAGGTATACACATTCAATATAATTTTTAATTTAATACAATAGGTACCTGTTCTATGCATATTAATTATTATTATTTGTTTGAAAAATTGAAATTAGATATGGAAAACAATTTGCTGGCGAAGCTATTCCAAAAAACCTGAGTAGACAGAACTAAGTTAATTTTCAAAGTCAACTCACCCGACATCGAGATGTTCTATTTAGATTAATTATATTATTATTTATTATGATCATTTTATATAATATAGAACAGTGGTTCTTAAACTGTGGTCCGAGGACAACGATACAATGATTCGTGCAATACTACTAAATACTATAGTAATTAATCGTAACAATACTGATAAGAATATTAATATAATCAACATTACCGCCGGACAATTTTGTTTCCGCTATGCAACTCTGGAATATAGTGGCCGACCGATCACTTGGACCGTTTTGTTGATTGTTTTCACCCTAAAATCATACAAAAGTCGTTTGATCGCATTTCAGTAATAACGATCCAATAGTAGGTACGTTTATTTATAATATAATGTTTGTTTTCAACAATATTATTAATTTGCTATTCATCGTTGTTGCATTAGTGTAGAAAGTGATCTAATACGGGACGGACGATGGTGATCTATCAATTTGATAAAAGTGATCTATACACAATCGAATACATACAATTCATTATAAATGTTAAGAAAATGTGTTTTTTATTAGGAAGTTAATACTAAAAAATATTGTAAAAATAATTCAATTCGTTAAATAAAAATACATATTCAAATTTCAAAGTTACTCTGTTGCTCAACATTGGTCAAGATTTTTTTTCGTTTTTCCGTCCTCAAAACTTCAAATTTTGCACATAGAATAACTGTATACCTATTATTATTTTTAATAGTATAAAATAATTCTTAATAAAATTAATTTTAAAAAAATGTGTTGACCCGAGTTGAGTTAATGCAATTTACTTTTGTATGTATCGATCACTGATCGTCACTCGTGAGACGGTCCAGAATACGAAAACATATGGTAGAAAAATATAACTCATATTTTTTCACTCATAATAATATACCTATCCAAGTATATTTTTTACTGTAATTCTAGAAATAGATTAAAAAAAAATTACATAGAAAACGAAGAAAATAAAAATCGTTTCAGGCAATTCAAATAAATGATGCAAATGCGTTGAAATCCGAGCTATATTGTTATTATATTACTTTATACACAATTAGGTACCTATATATACTATGATGTGTATAGGCCAACGACCAGCGGATACCTAATGTGTGACTTATTAATCAATAATGTAATTACAATAATAATAATAATAATAATGTGTAGGTACATCACAGAAGCGATTTGAACGAATGTTGTATAAAATAGTGTTGAACTTACGAAAACGACGGTGACCGACAAGCACAGACACGCCACTTTAAGAGCGAACATTTTTGAGTTTAATATCGAAAAGGAATAGGTAAAATATACAAATTAACGATGGATTGATGTAATGATAATATTTTACAGGAACGATTTGTCATAGACCGCAGTTGTATAGTGTTTGACGACAGAATAATTCGCTTTACTCTAGTTCAGTGTTTATATACCACCAAATGAAAATAAAATAGTAATAATAAATAGGAAAAGGGGAAAAAGGGAGTATTAACAATTAAAATCTACGGTATTTCCACTTCCAAGCGGATATCGGCATTATGAGTATATATATTATATTGTTTCCAAGAACAATAATTGTTTTAACGACAAAATAAAACGCCACGTCATCATCATTAACCAATTGAGTTATAGTATTTTATTAAAACGTTGTTAATATTATAATATAGGTATATAATAATAATTATTATTCCGATGCTTTTTTACAATTTTATTCGATACATAAACGTGTCAAGGTGATCGTAGTCGGATCAAGGAAACCGGAAAATATCATTTAAATCCTAAAGTGTGACAACCAAAAACTAATTGTATATTATATATAATATATTATGCATAATATGTCTGTTATATCAAACAATACACTTCATTGTATGATATAAAATGTTTGAGTATTAAAATAAAATGATCATAACAGTATGGAAATAAAATGATTTTGAAATGAAAAATAATATGTAGGTGCGTTTGACTCTCGTTTCGGTCCACTCGGTTAACTCTTCAATATGCAGCTCAACTGGAAACGGAGAAAACAAGAATAAGACAATTACAATAATAATATATCGTTTATATATTGTAATATACCTAGTGAAGTTAGTGCTTAGGAAATTTCCAAGAAAAATTCTGTATCGAAAATGGACGTGTTTCGTATTTAAATTATTAAACTTCGAACCTTCTTGGAAATTTCCTTTTAGAAATCTGAAATTTGATATTACTATAACTATATAAGTGCATTATGCAATATTAATTTTAGCCTTTTGTGTAACTGTATATACAATATAAATATATAATAGTGGGCAATATTCATGTGACGCTTACGAGTTTCAAGTTGACTTGTCGAGATCTAACTGCTTGTTCAAACATGCCATCACAGTGTACGAGTAATTGCACGTCGCTATTACCTCCTTTGACACAAGTAAAGCTGTAATCAATATAATATATTATAATTATAAACATATCTACTAAAATGTCACAGGCAGATAAAATTTAATATCTATACGATTTTCAGTGTATTATTAGTGGTGATGAACTAGTGTTCTTAAGGAAAGGTTTTTTAAAGGAACGATTCCTGGAATTGATTCCTTTTTAGAGGAACGAATGAAGGAATAAATTCCATTACTTTTTAAAGGAATATGAAAGTGAATCAATTTCTTATTTTAAGGAATTGGAACGTAAATATTATAATTATTTTGTTCTTCTCGGAAAAGTTTATAAAAACATTTTGGGAGAAAAATGTTGTATTTTTGTTTCCTTATCATGTTTTTAATTTTAAAAAAAATAATAGACGAGACTACCAATTTTTTATTCACATATGACTTTGTGTTCTGATTAGTGATTATGATAATAACTGATAACTCATGAACGACGAGGAACGAGGAAAAGAATGAGTTCCTTTTTCATAGGAACTAGAAATTGAACGAGTTTCTTTTGACATTAAATGAACGAGAACTGAACAAATTCCTATTTATACTAAAGGAACGAGGAATTGAAATTATTCCTATATAAAAGGAATTTTAACAACACTGTGATGAACAGAGTTCCAATGTGTAGGTACGCGTACAATATCCATTGGTGCAACTAGGGAGGGGGCTTAGCTCCCTGACTAAGATATCCCCCCATATTGATTTAGATATAAGCCCCCTATGGGTTATTTTAAATAAATAGTTTTGTTAGCCCTCCCCCCAGAATTTTAACCCTAGTTGCGCCTGTGAAAATATCTATAGTTTTCAATTCAATTGAACTACCTACGAGTGAAATGAGTGAAAATAAACCCCTGTGTAGTTGTTTGCAACAGATAATAATATTATGAAATCGTGCTTATTCGTCCAGTGCAAAACAATCAGATATAATATTATGGTAATTGGTAATAGTATATGGCGTATGATTTAATCGTGGCTGAAACTGTGCATTTATTATTGTTATTTATAAGCTTGCTTGAGCCTGGAAGTTATTCTTTTGAGTCAACTTTCAACTTTTGGATCAACTAGTTACTTTTATGTGATCGTGGGCAAGCTATTTGAAAAAAAGGACTCGAGTTAGAAAAGTTAACTGAATGTTAAGAACATTAGTAATTTGCAAACAATATATAGGTAGTTATTAGAACTATTAAAGTTAAATGTAATAAGAAGACAAATATTAACTTAACTCTCTTAATAAGTTAATTCGTTTTTTTTTTAATTATCACTAATTATACATTGTGCAACTTTTAAATATATTTAATAATAACTTAACAAATTAAAAACGCTTCCTAACTATTCCTTTTCATTGTATACACTAGCTGTAATGGTTTAGTTTGGGCAATAACAATAAGTTTGTGTTAAATTAAGGAATATATTATATTTGTTTATTGTTAATTAAATTAAAAACATTCGTTTAAATAAAATGTTTTATTGTATACCTACTATATGTGAATAACTAAAAACAACTAATTAAAACGTTTTAACTACAGTTATAGAGAAAACACATTTCCAAACGAGTACATGTTAATGAGAATTTAGTTTGAGCTTTTTTTCATCAGTTTTTATGAGATTTTCCGGAAAAAGAAATAGAAGAATAGCTCTCGTGATCGTGTAAAAGATTTTCCTGACTTTTGGTCGGGCTCATTGGGTAGGTTAGGTATTGTTATTTGCGTTCGATACATCATCAGTAAAGCACACTGCACAGACCTATATAATTTCGTTCACACATTTTTCCGTCCACCACCGACTATATTATATTATTGCTATGTCACAACATAATATAGAAGGGTTTAAGTATCACCTTCTTCATAACACTTGTTGTTTATATTCACGATCTTCTCCGTAGACCATTCCGACCAGTATTTCTTTAACCCCGCTTCCATGCCGGTTTTGTTGTACGAACCATCGTCGTTCAGCTGAAACAACATAGTCTATTATATATAACGGAACACAATTTAGTTTTTAACGAGTCACAGAGTAAACGTTTAAGAGAATGACTAAACGCATAAATTATTACCAGTCCCAGTTTGGTGATCATGCATTTCATCAGACACTGAAAACAAATAAAACAAAAAAAAAATCTAATCAAAAATTCTAAGTAGTTGTTTTTAGACGTTTTGTCACACATTCATGAGTGGGGGGAGGGGGCGTTATAGACCCGGAACACTTCCAGAAATCGAGATCGAAACCTATGTTTTGAATTGGAATATTTTTCGCGGGATCAATAATCAATAAATTGATATATAGTATATTATAAATTTGATTTATTATAACTTATAAGTAATTGTTACTATAGTATGTTTTTTCTAAGTTTTACTTACTTTTATTTTTTATTAAAGATAACCCTTAGCAATGTGGTCATTGTAGAGGTGATTTTTTTTTACATACAGTAGATTCACTAAGCATACTAACCCCCCTTTTATTCTTCAATAATGCATGTACACAAAATTTGACTTTTGGACTTTTTAAATATATTTTCAAATTCTTGTGATTTTTATACTACTTAAGGAGTGTCCTGTGGAAATACATTCTTTTGTTTTTCAAATGAGAAACATTGCTAATGTAAATTATTTAGTGGATCATTTTTCTGAAAATTAAAGGAAAACATAGAGGTGAGCATGCTTCGTAAACTCCTTATATAGTATTACTACAATTTTAGGTTTAAATTTTACTGCTAAAATAAATGTATAATATATTAATAATATAATATGATTTACCTACATAGTACATATTATTATATTTATGATCATATAAAAAAAATTATGTATAAATTAAGGTACAAAAGAGTAGTTATTATATAAAACAAATTTATGTAATATTGTTTCTAATTCAAACGTAGATTGAGTTAGAAATGGCTTGGAACGCAACCTTAATTTTCTATTCTGATGAACCAAAACCAAAATATACAAAATCATTAAGGTCGCTGGATTCCATAGGTATGTACAGCCTCTCAACACAAATTAAAATTAATAGCTGTTGACTAAATTTAATTAATAATCACCGTATAATAGTATTCGTTCTGTTCGGCGAATAATACTATTTGGACAGTACTATTATTTTGCTAAATTAATTTATGTTTTATTGTAATAAATTGACCTCGGGACACATTGCATAAAATATTGGAATCGATACGTAAATCGATCATTTTTTGGGACGCAATATTCATTTATCAGCCCTGAGGACTTCAGTTATCTAATGTACCTATAGTCAATTAATGGTGGGTGAATATTCACAATTATTACCTTTCCAGTTTCTGTAGATGGTACCTTGTAGGATTTGACTACGACGAGGTCATCTAATGAATAATAAGAAAAAAATTATTGAGATTAGTTTTCTGATCAAATAGGTATTTGATACGTAGTACAATTTTTTTTATGAAATTCCAACAATAATATTACTACGAATAATATTTTACGCCGAACGCATAATACCTATAACACAATATAATTATACAATATCGATATTGTTCTACGAAACTTAGTATACTCATAAGCCATTTGTCATATCAAAATATTATAGTAGATAAGTATTAATATTATTATTATTATTATTCACACCTGTGACAATATAACTCGCAAAGTAGCTGGTTGAGTTTTTTTTAATACATTTTATGAAATAATAGAAAAAGCTTAGACATGTAATATTATATTGTGATATTTACGTTCATACAACAAATTTTAGTTGTTTGTTATTTCATCATATAAAATTATTATAATATTCAAAATATATGTACAATATAAATACGTAAAGGTCGTATACAAAATATTTGATGTAGGTAGAACAACTTTACTCAAAAGCCGGATAGGTCCACATGATAATAGTAAAACCCAATAGTTTCAATCGTATGACAGCTAATATTGTGATAGTTTAAATAGACCGTCATCGTTAAGGCAATAATAATATTATGATAGTTTAAATAGACTCTTATGAATTATGACAGTATGAAGTCACACAACATTAAATAAATCGTTTTACATAGTAATACTATATAGCCTATGGGTAGGATTGTTAAATACACTCAACTACCCATAGGTAAGTAATTTATAACACAGTATTGGGGTATTGGGGTGGTCTATACGGAAAATGGACGATTTTCGAATAAACAGTGCTCTGTTTTTTAAGTTAATATATTTTTGCACTCATATTATATTGACTAATAATTATATTATACTATGTAAATACTAAGTATTAATAGGTATATGATAATATGTATAGTAATACCTATTATATAATATGTAATTTTAAGCAATAAAATAGCCATGATGCATCTTGTACAACATGGACCCCTGACAACATATGTAGAGGATAAGCGACGCATTCGTGATTAGCCAATCTGCTCGACAACACGATCAAACACGTAGTTTTCCTCAACTTTATGTAGACGACCATCAGATTATGGGTTATGTCTTTTTAAAAAATAAAAATGGAATGTAATTGACTAATGAAATAAGCAAATAGAGTTGTTTTAATGACCGAGTACCCACTGCTTATTCGATAACCATACATTTTCGTTTACCATTCTATACCTATATATAACTGCATAAAGATTTGTGTAACCAGGCCTCTAAATTCGAAGAGATTGAGAGTTTAACTTAAAATTGGTAAATGGTTTTTTTTTTTTAAAATCATTATAATAAATGCCTTAAAACAACTATTTTTTTGTAAATAGGTCATGTTATTTTCTACTAATCCCCCTACACCAAAACAAAAATTATTTTAAAAATGTATTCTATCATGGAACAAAAAATAACGATAACGATATTTTTTCGAAATAGGTTTGACATAATATGATTAAATAAATCATGGACCACAATAGGATTGTCTTCAAACCACCTTGAAGGTGCGTAATGTTTAAAAACCAAAAAAAAAAGTTTGAATATTAATTTTTACAGATGAATGTTTTCACAAAAGTCATCTACTTAAGAATTTACAGTAAAAATAGTTGGTTCTCATTTAAAAAAAAAAAATGTAAGGTTTTTAGGTGTTGCCACAAAAATCAAAGTAGGTATTTAAAAAAATAGTTTTTAAATATTATACTTGAATATTCTATAAATCAAAATGTAAAGAAATGAATAATTAAATGCAAACTTGAGGGTGAGCATGCTTGGTAAATTTCCCAGTATAAATATAGATCTAAACCTATTGACTTTGTTGGCAAATAAATATTTTTCGATACTCTTATATTATACTATATGCTTTGGTAAAAGAGACAAAAAAAAAAAGAAAGTGTCCATCATCGTCCATAATTAATTGATCTAGTAGAACAAAACAACAATCGTTTGCAGTAATTAAAAAGTTGTAACTAAATATAATAATATATAATACATAGTAAATGTGAAAATTGAATAATATCCGTCGTGGTTAACTTATTCCGGCCCAGTGCTGATGACATTTAGTGAAATTATTGGTGTCGAAAATACAATGTAATATTATTATCATTTATCATGTTATAAAAAACGTTACAAAAATTAAAGTCATAGTGAAAAATCAATGGTAACTTACACGAACAGAATTTAATTAAGTGTAATTACCAATAGCCTATATATATATTATTCGACCAGTATCAAAGTCTGTGTGACAAACAATATGAGAAAAGATGTTAATAAATATTATGCAAACTAATATAAAAGTCATTATACAGTATATAGGTACACTATGATAAAGCAAACGTTGATTAAAAATACAGTTATTATTAGTACTCATTTTATGCACAAATTAATGAAATATAATACAGAAATGTTGATGAAAAGGTAAAACATATTTTGAGCTTGACAGCATAATGTAAAGTCTTTAGAGGACGTCCTATGCAGCGTGTGTGGCCTTCATCTCAGTAACGCAGAAAATGAACAATTTTACATTCCATAGAATCTATTTTATTCTTATTATTATTTGTGATATTAAGGTGAATATTGATTTCTATGAAATTTAAAGGTAAACTTATTATCCAGGTCCCCACGTAGGGTTTTTATGATATATTTTTAATTTATATAAGCATGACTTTATGTGAAATTTAAAATTTTAAATGACTTACAACTTGTTATCTATAATTGTCACATAATATAATACACTGTTGATAGTTGGAACGCTGATATTTTTATGATTTTGATTATTTTGTTCACCCAGTCATAATGGTTTCTAAGTACGGCACAAATCTGATTCATGACACCTGGATTTCATATCTGCAAACCCATTTTGTATAATATACCTATTTGCATATTATATTGATAGATAATTTTTAGTTTTAACTGCATATGGAGAACATTTAAATCGATGGAAAATTATTTAAATAATTTTATTTTGTATTATATTTTTCTCAAACAAGTGAGATGATAATATTTTTAGTATCGTATTCATATATAGGTATTGTAATATATGAAACCTCGCAAAAGTAACTCCAATGGAAGGCATATTTACCCACCCACAATTCACAAAACGCCCAATATTTACATTTATTGTAAAGGTAAATTCGTAAAAAAATTAAGTTAACAAAGTAATATATTTAATATTTATAGTATTAGAATTGTACAAACTTTATTTTTATTTTATTTTTTGTATTTCTTAATAATATAATAATAAAAATTTTATGAAAAATAATTTGCTCCACCATATTATTACCTAAGAGTCCTAAGAAATAAAAAAAATGTATAAATCAAATCAGTAAAAAATAGTATTAACAGCCAATAAGTAATAACACATTAACACATACCATTGTAAATATTATGTTTAGAAAAGCATTAATTTGTGTCACGATAAAATCGGAAAAGTTTTTTTTTTCGAGAACGCAAATACAAATAAAATTGGAATTTATTTCCGTTAATAAAGATTAAAGTTACTATTATTATATGGAATGCAAAAATGTGAATTTTCTGTAAAAAAAGACCGTAAGTGTAGTAAAACTAAACATTATAATATAAATAATGTTGAACGATTTCCCATGGTACGAGTATATTGAACGACATTTGAACGGCATGAGTGTGATTTGTAGATAGATTAGTGAAAACTACGTCACCAAATTGAACATACCTGAATGAGAATAATTATTAAACAATGCCCTTAACTACCTAAGTATATAATATTGTTATGTACAGGTGGCAACCATTATAATAATATTTATTTGAAACCCAATATACTATGATTATGGACAGGAAAAGGCTTAGCAATAATAAACTAAATATATAACCTATAAGTTAGGTCTCTCAAAATTCAACCGTTAGAATTTTATTAAAATTTTGTTAAACTCATAACGACCACACAAAAGATCAAATGGCAGGATTATCATACAATACGCAGTGTATTGTTAAATAGGGGCCAAACATAATTTGGATGTATAGTATATACTCCGATGAGTAATTAATGTATATAATATTATATATACCTATACATATTAAGACACACATTATGATGAACCATACACTATCGATAGCGCTGTTAAACAGGATGTCCACTGTACGAATGAAAGATAATATAAACATATAGAATAATCTAATCCTATAGTCAATGCCATTTCTTGGACCCCGCGCAGACCACAGAAATGGGATACCAAACTTACCAATAGAAAAGGGTAGATTTTGTACACGAGAAACATGGACAGACCAGAGTCAGACGTTTCACGTGCTTTGCGAGAGTCAGTACTCGCACCTTCACAAGAGTTATCGTATTCACGCGACTAATTTTACTACAAGTTTTAAGTATGTCAAATAAACAAATTTATAACAGTATCATTAATACGACTCAATCTATTGTTAACTGATGTCATCCATTCACTTCAAAATCTAACTCTCCACGTGTGATCACTACATAATATTATCACACATGCTTGACTCACCAGTCACGCTCAGTGATCGACATTTATTAAACTATTACGTGTACACGTCATCACGAATGGTAGTGGTTGAAGCGAGAACACAAAATAGTGTACAATATCGGATCGAATAAAAATAACAGACGGACAGACGATTATAATATTGTAATTATCTTTGGTTCGGGTAACGCGTGAACGCCGAACAACGCTTACCTTAATCATAACAGGGTTGTTTATTTCAGGATTGTAACGAACATGTCGTCATCGACATCGTACATTACTCCCTACGTCTAGCAAGGCTAGTAGGTATGCCGAGTAAGGAAAAATATGAAATATATATATTATGCTGACGCGATGTTTAGCTGACATCACGTCAATAACCGACCAGAACTCCTGGCGAAAAAGAGTGGATAGTCGAGAGCGGACAACGACCCAAAGAGGACCTGTGGACGACCAGCTCACCCACCTCGGATAGCAGCACCCACGACAAGTCG